GGCTGGGGCGTCGGCGGCATCGAAGCGGAGGCAGTGATGCTGGGCCAGCCCATCTGCATGGTCCTGCCCGAGGTCATTGGCTACCGACTGGTGGGCAAGCTGCCCTCCTTTGCCACCTCCACCGATCTGGTGCTGCAGATCACCAAGCACCTGCGCCAGATTGGCGTCGTCGGCAAGTTCGTCGAGTTCTTCGGCCCCGGCGTCTCTGAGCTGTCCATCGCCGACCGAGCCACCATTGCCAACATGTGTCCGGAGTACGGTGCGACCATTGCCTTCTTTCCACCCGATGAGACTGCCCTGAAGTACCTGGAGCAGACTGACCGCCAGTCGAGCGCCATTCAGTACACGCAGACGTACCTGAAGGCTGTGAAGCTTTTCCGCAAGGACTACCGGGACGCCAGCGAGGACCCCACCTTTACGGAGGTGTTTGAGCTCGACATCAGCACCATCACGCCCAGTCTCAGTGGACCGAAGCGACCGCAGGACCGTGTGCCCGTGTCGGAGATGAAGGCTGACTTTGAGCAGTGTCTGCTTAACAAGGTCGGCTTCAAGGGCTTTGGCATCAATCCCGATAGTATCACTCGAGCGGTGCCCTTTGTTTTCGATGGACAGGTAACGATGTCTGTTTTAGCTCTGGCGACACCGATCTTATTGTCCTTCATTCTTTTTCTCTGCAGGAGTACGTTATGAAGCACGGCTCGGTGGTCATCTCTGCCATCACCTCGTGCACCAACACTAGCAACCCCTCGGTGATGCTAGGTAACGTGATTTTGACTGTGACACCAGTAAAAACTGCATTTACAACCTTGTCTCATTGTTTCCCTTTCAGGCGCCGGTCTGCTGGCAAAGAAGGCAGTGGAGAAGGGCCTCTCCGTGGCACCGTACATCAAGACGAGCATGTCTCCGGGCAGTGGAGTGGTCACCTACTACCTTCAGGAGTCGGGCGTCACGCCCTTTCTGCAGCAGTTGGGCTTTGACATTGTCGGCTATGGGTGCATGACCTGCATCGGCAACAGCGGTCCCCTGCCGCAGGAGGTGGTCGAGGCCATTGAGAAGGGCGACATTGTTGCCTGCGGCGTCCTCTCGGGTAATCGCAACTTTGAGGGTCGTGTTCACCCGAACACCCGAGCCAACTACCTGGCCTCTCCGCTGTTGGTGGTCGCCTACGCACTGGCTGGCACCGTCGCCATTGACTTTGAAGTGGAGCCAATCGGTATGTTTCACTTCTTTGCAATTATTATGTTGGCTAACATTGAAACACCATTGAAATTCAGGCGTCGACTTTGAGGGCAAGAACGTCTTTCTGCGCGACATTTGGCCATCGCGTGATGAGATTCTCGAAGTGCAGCAGAAGTGCGTCATTCCCGCCATGTTCAAGGAGGTGTACTCTCGCATCAAAACGGGCAACGAGCGATGGAACTCGCTGAAGGCAAACACTGACCTGCTGTACAACTTTGATCCAAAGTCGACGTATATCAAAAACCCGCCCTACTTTGAGAACATGTCCACTGAGCTGTCGCCAATTGCGCCCATCACCAATGCTCGTGCCTTGCTCTTCCTCGGCGACTCTGTCACCACGGATCACATTTCGCCTGCTGGATCCATTGCGCGCAACAGTCCGGCGGCAAAGTACCTCATTGAGAGAGGGTAAAATTGAAGTGAATTGTTCGTTGTTTTCTGTACTGACAGATATCATTTTTTCGCAGAGTTGCCCCAGCTCAATTTAATTCGTACGGATCACGAAGGTAAGTGCCTCTGATTACATTTTTCAATGGTAGACTAACTTTACACTTCTTCGCACAGAGGCAACGACGCCATCATGACTCGGGGCACTTTTGCGAACATTCGCATTGTGAACAAGTTCATGTCGAAGCCGGGCCCAATGACCATTCACATTCCCTCTGGCCAAGAGCTGCCCATCTTTGATGCTGCCCAGCTGTACAAGCAGGAGAACACTCCGCTGATTATTCTCACCGGCAAAGACTATGGCTGCGGATCGTCGCGTGATTGGGCCGCCAAAGGACCGTACTTGCTCGGTGTGAGGGCCATCATTGCCGAGAGCTATGAGCGAATTCATCGAAGGTTTGTCATGCAGCAACTCCTGTGAAGTATCTTTACAATCGATTTTAACTTCTTATAACTTCACCTAGCAATCTCATTGGAATGGGCATCATGCCACTGCAGTTCACCGATGGACAGAGTGCCGAATCGATTGGACTGACTGGTCGAGAAAGCTTTACCATTGACATTCCGCCAAAGTTGTCACCAGGACAGAAGACGCTGGTTCATGTAATTTGACCATAAAGTCTTTTTGATTATCATTTCTAATTTCCCCTTTTTCTACCATGCAGGCTGATGGAAAGACCTTTGAGGCAATCATTCGCTTTGACACGGAGGTGGAGCTGGAGTACTTTAAGAATGGCGGAATTTTGCACTACATGCTTCGTCAGCTACTTGCCAAGTCCAAAAAATGATAAACTAAGTAATCTTCAATAAAATATTTATTCTGATGGTGTTTGAAAAAAGAAAAGATGATTTATTTGATAAAAGGAGGATGTTTAGAGGATTTTCTTGGTAAGCCCAGAAAGTATATGAAAGTGAGATACTTCAGTTTGATGCAGTGAGAGTGTTGTCGATCTATTCGGTCCATTTGTGAGTGCACTTGGCCTCAGTGCAAACGTAGTACAGTCGCATATCGTCTTCCGCTCGACGTGATTGACCCTGAAAGAAGACCGCTTCTTTGTGGCCACATGAAGGACAAGGATGCTCCTTGGTGCGAGGCAAGGTTGGATCGTGAATCACGTCAGGCACTATTCGACTCAGTTCGCTAAAAAAGAAGCCGGTTTTAATTGGTGATAAAAGAGTGCCCATCAGTTTGTCAACTTACTCGACTTCGTGCATGATGCGATTCACGTAGACACAGTAATTTTCAGCCACCTGTTTGTAGTCACAGTTTCTACAAGCGTAGAGTAGCTGTCGGCCGTCCTTATCTTCTTTTGGATAGAGCATGTTATTGCATTCCGAGCAAAAGATTAGACCTAAAAATAAGTTTAAGATTATAGCCGTGAAGATGTGCTCTCTTCTGAAGCAAAAACCTGCCTGCAAACTTTGGTCCGGTTGCATCGCCGTCCGTTTCCATGTTCATTTTTGAAAAGGTGTTGTCAAGATTCAAGGTTCAAAAACGGTGAATTTCAGGTGCAATGTTTTGATTTGGGATCAAATCAGCGTGCAGTGGCAATCTAGAAAATGCTCAAACATCATTTTTTTGCACAGCCTAAACAAGCGCTAGCGCCGTCTAGCGACGCATTAGCAAACCAAATTATTCAGAATTTGGAATTGTTCGTTCTTGGTATTTATGATATCATTCACCAAAATGAGGTACATTTTATTTTTGAGACTTGACAAACATGACGTCAACTGAAATTGACTTGTCGCAATGGGACAAAGAGATGAACTCAAAAACAGCTGAATTCGAGAAGCTATACCAGCAAATGCTGGCCGAGTCTAAGAAACCTAATGCAGGCATTGAGATTTGGTGGCGTTTAGCCGAGGCGACTTTTATGGTGGCGCTCAACTGCACTCACAATGAGTGCTGCTCGCCGGGAGATCACGGCGAAGTGACCATCAAAACTGAAGAGGCTCTAGGATATGCCAAAAAGGCCATTGAGATAAAGGCAGATCACTTTATGGCCAATCTCTGGGTGGCTTACGCTGCCGGAAAATTGGCCCTTCTTGCGTGTGACATGTCAAAGAGAGTTGAGTATGTTTCATCTTTAATTCTAACACCATTTTCACTTAACTAACATTTTTAATCTCAATCAGGCTAATGAAGTCTTTTGTTAGTTCTCTCGACTTGTGCATCAAACAAAATCCAAGCAACGGCCATGTGATGCTGATGGAGGGTCGCTATCACCTCGCCCTGTATCTAATTGCTCCCGAGGTGATGGCAGAATTACGAGTGCACATGCCCCAGTTGCCAGAAGGGAATCTGACACTGGCTGAAACGAAGCTTCGCGAAGCGGTGAAGCTGATGCCAGAGCAAGTTGACGCCTACCTTTCTCTGGCTCGTGTTCTAATGCTTTTAGGCAAGTTCAGCGAGGCCAAGGAGATAATCGATAAGGGTCTTAGCGTGCAATGCATTACCAAGTCAGATCAGTTTGCTGTCAAGTACCTGATGACTTTTAAAACTTGGCTGATTGAAGAAGGCGTTTAGCTTTTCAAAATGCACATTTTTTACTTAAAAACTTCATTTTTGTGCCGTTTATTTTGTGTAATAACAATCCAGACTTCATTTGAACTTGCCGCGTGAGACGTCCTCTGCGGAGGGGCTGTCGGCCTGACTAACTTTTCGTGTTTTGGCTTGCTAAGCGCTTTGTTTCTCACGCTGTCCAGTCAATCGGTATTTGGTGATCATCTTTGCCGTCAAACCAAATTCTCGAAACATGTCATTCCTTTCAAACAACGTAGAGCCGATGCAGCTGGACGCCGTCGAAGATATTGAACTGTTTGAAGCCAACGAAATTCCAAACGCCAGTGTCAATGATGTACTTGATCGCTCTGTCGAGTCGGCTCCCTTTGAAGTGGAATCGTATGCGGCGCAATATTCTGGATTTGCCAAGCTAAGTCGACTGCTGTACATTGCCGACCACTGTCCGCCTCTGCAGATTGAAGCCCTTGAACAGGCGTTGAAGTACGTTAAAGAATCCACTTACAATGTCAACGCTTACACAACTATTCAGCAAAAGTTGGTCAATGCGCTCACTGCAAGCGGTCAGACTGCTAAAGCCGAACAGTATCCACTCGACACAGTGTGGATTGATGAAAAGTCCAAAATGTCGCAAATCTATTTTGAAAAGCTCGACACTGATCTGAAGAACTACAAGACCAACTCGATCAAAGAAAGCATTCGCCGAGGCCATGATGATCTAGGCGCTCACTACCTGCAATGCGGTGATTTATCCAATGCTTTGAAGTGTTACTCACGCTCTCGAGATTATTGCATGGGTGATCAACAACTGTTCAACATTTGTATGAACATAATCAAAGTCAGTATCTATCAGAAAAGCTGGGGCCACGTGAACTCTTTTGCCCAAAAAGCCGAGTCATCACCTGAATGTTCTGCCAACAGTACCGCTCAGACGAAGATTTCCTGTATTGTCGGACTGCACGAGTTGGTCACTAAACGGTACAAATATGCAGCCAAACGTTTCATGTCTGCCAACATTGACGACCTCGGCCCAGACTTCTCTGACATCCTTTCACCAAATAATGTTGCTATTTACGGTGGTCTTTGTGCCCTTGCCAGCCTCGATCGCTCTGATCTGCACAAGCACGTCTTCTTAAGCCCTAACTTTAAGCTGTTTTTAGAGCTGGAACCGCAACTGCGTGAAGCTATTCACAAGTTTTATGAGTCAAAATATCCCGTCTGCTTATCACTTCTTGATGAGCTAAAGGACAGCTTCATGCTGGACATGTACCTCGCTCCGCACCTCACTGCTCTATACTCAAAGATCCGAAACCGTGCACTGATTCAGTACTTTTCGCCGTACCTGTCGGCCGATCTCCGACTGATGGCAACTGCTTTCAACACCAGCCTTCATGATTTAGAAAACGAACTGATGAAGCTTATTCTCGATGGGCAAATCAAAGCGCGAATCGACTCTCACAACAAGATCCTGTACGCCAAAGATTCTGACCAGCGACTGGAAACATTTGAAAAGTCACTAGCCATGGGTCGTGAATGGCAAATGCGAGCTACTTCGCTAATCTTACGCGCTGCCTGTGTTCGTAACGGCTTAATTTTCATCAAAGCCGGCCCCAACAATGCATCTTCCAAAGCCGCTGAAGAGGCGCCGTCTTCTGCTGGAAATAACGTTGCTGCCTGCTCTCCCTCCAGTCCCAACAAACCTCGAGTCTGAACCTGACAGTGGAGCTGGGAGATAATCTTTTGTAAATGGCCATATTCATTGATTATTTATAACTTTTTTACACAAGGCCAATGTTGATATCTTGCGGATATATGATTCTCTTGTTACCAGCAGCAGCAGCAACAGCAGCAAAAGTCACTGCTTCTCATGAATAATTAAATTTTCATTCTCAAATAAAGCTGCATGTTTTATTTATAACACTTCAGTCATGCACGCCTGCCTACACGCGTGCATACCTCTCTCAATTGGAGCCATGCTGTGCTCTGATTGCCCAGTGTTCTGTGGTGATTCTGTGGTGGTCGTCATCGCGTCATTTCCTCTGCGACAATGGCTCGTCGAAGACGCAAGTCGTCGGCATGTCTCGACCGCCAGGACTCCACCAGCGAAATGCGCACTTTGCTAGGGCCGGTGGTGAACTACGCCAGGCGAAAGAAGCCGGACAGCAAGCGCGTCATTGCCCTTCAGGTATGCTTGCATCATTTATTGCGAAAGTTTCACACGTCAATTTCCTTTCCTAGTTCATCCTCGTGGTGGCCGTTCTAGGTCTGGCCGCCTACACCTACTGCCACTTTGAGCACTTTCACTTTCACCTGACGCACTTCTACGCCTCCACGTGGGACAGTCACCATGCGCAGCACGTGCTCGGCCATAAGTTGCTGAAGGAGCGGCGGAACTCTTCGGCGGCCTTTCACTGGTTTCGAAGATCCGCCGACCGAGGCCATCCTCACTCTGCCTACAACCTCGCTGCAGGCCATTTGAGTGGCTATCGAACCGACGTCAAGCAAGGTATAGTTGCTCCTGCTGCTGAGAGAGAGAGAGAGAGGCGGGATAGAGTGCAGCGGTTTTCTCCTAACGACACCTGTCAATCTTCTCTCTCCTCTCGGGTACAGGTGAAGTACGGCAGCTTCTGAAGTTTGCCGCCCGAAACGGCGTCGAGGAGGCAAAGGAGCTGTTGCGAACGTTGTGCAAGGAGAAGCCTAAGTACTGCGACCTCTGAACACTGCTGATGTTGATCGTTCTACCTGAGCACGACCACCGCCACGACCACCATTCACCTACACTCACAGAGCACACATACACAAAGCTGTCAATTGCTTTGGTAAAAGTAATCATCATCATCATCATCACACACACACAATAAAGGGCCTGCTTCGGTATCACGGATCGATGCACTGCTGCAATAGTAGTGTGCTGGTGGTGGTTGTGTTCCACAGTGGTAGTCCTGACAACGGCATTATTGTGGCCAATTGACAGGCGCCCATCGATCGGAGCAAATTCCAGGTACTTGTTTTGAAGTGAGCCTTCTCTAAAGAGCGGTTCATCATCAGCAGAATGTCAGAAAGCAGTGTGCCTACTCGGAGAGAGGCTGCTGCTGCCGTTGCAGCTGCAGCTGATGCATTCCCGAAGACCGTCGCCTGTGACATTCCCATCGCTATGGCTACCCATTATGACAGCCTCGCTCTCCCGCTCTCTCCCCTCAGCTTTCTTACTTACTAAGGCTCAGGGGAGTTTCTCTTGAAGTCTCAGTCACTCTCTCCCTCTGAATCCGTCGGAGTTAGCATGCCATCAATATCACTGCTACTGACACCGCCACAATTGACACTTGGCTGCCGTGCAGTGAATCAGGGCGTTCGAGAAGGCAGCTGCTTCCATTTCTTCTTCTTCACTTTCTGCTTTACACAGAAAAGCCCATAGTTTTGCTTCCCTGCAGAGACTTTTTCATCACCACAGTCACATCGGTTATATTGAGGATGAGGTTCCACGAAGTGCACGGTGTGAACGCTTCACTGGACGATGCCCGCAAAGTGGCCCTCAGAACAGGCTCCTTCTGTGATGCATTTGTCTTCAGTGAAGTTCCACTGCGGCTGAACTCTTACACAGCCATCAAGCTCACCTCCAATGAAGTCGAGTGGCAGGGTCGAAGCTTCCTGGGCGTCACTTCGAGAAATCCAGTCAGCTTTATCGAGTCTGCTTTCTCGAAGCACATCCTCACTCTGTTAAACACTGAAGACGTCTGGTTCCGTTCAGTGCCCGAGAGCTGGGCCTCTGCCAGTCTTATTGTCCACCTCACATTTGACGGCCAACTGGAGATTACCAGTGAGTTTGAGCCCAATGTGAGGTACATCTTTTTTGAAAACTTGCCCATCAACTTTCCACTCTGGCTGGTGATTGATCTGTACGGTGCCAGCAACAGTGTCCAGTTGCCCACCTTTGATTCGCCTAACTCAAAGGAGATCATTTCACTTGGCTCAGACGCTTCCACCACTTTCAAGTGTGGCGAAGAGGGAATAGTGCCTTACAACTTTGCCCGAATCGTCCTAATCGGTCCTAAATCTTCTGGCAAAAGCATGCTGAAGAACATTCTATCCAATAACATGTACTGAGTACTTTCTCATCAAAGTGACGCAATCATTCCATGTCTGACTGACGTAAACATCCTCTTTTCGTTTAATGACAGGAACATGGAGCTAAAGGATCTCGACTTGTCCGAAACCTCCAACCACTACCTGTCTGCAGACAATGGCGAGTGGTTTCTGTTGTCCAATTTGACTGCAAACAGAACGCCCCTCGAGGAACGCTCTCGTCCGGAAATATATCACGAGTTGGCACAGAACATAGTTCATGAAATTGTGATCACCAACAAAGAACAGCTGGACACTTCTTCATCCTCTTCCAAAGATCTGATTAAAAATGTGCTCAAGTTCCCGCGCAAGATGCGCAAGTCTTTTTCTAAAGAAGTGAAACAGCTTAGCGAAAATGTGGTGAGTGTGTTTGTTGACAAAAGCATCTGCAATCACGTGACTTGTTTCCCACTAGAATGAAATTCCCGAAGAGTTGATGGTCATCATCGAAGATTTGCTGAAGAACATTAACACTGAAGAGAACACCGGAAAAGTGCCCGGTAAGATGATGGTCAGTCAGAAGCACATTGTCAACTTATGCGATTTTAGCGGCAATTTGCTGTACCTCATTGTGAACCAGGTAAAAAAGTTGGAAGCTAAGTTGGCAAACTAAATCAGCATTGTTGTCGTTTTTTTCGCCAGTTTTTCTTTACCAGTTGTGCCATTTACCTGTTTGTATTTAATTTATCCGACGACCTCGAGTCGCCAATGAGCGCCAGTGAGTTTTTTCCCAACATTGTAAGTGTTGTTTCACAGTTTGTGTTTTTCAGCAAGTTGACTACTTTGCTTTTTCTCCTCAGAGTGAACTGCATAACCAGTCAGCATCTCTGCTCAATCTGATCCACCTATGGATCACCTTAATACACACCACCATTGCCTCTTTTCCCATTCCCAGTGAGTCGGGCGATGAGCAGGCCGGCGATGGGGAGAGCACCTTTGACGTTCAACCACAGGTGCTACTCGTCGGCACTCACCGCAACTCCATTCACGCAGAGCCAATCACTCGCAATCAGATTGTGAAGGAGATTTTTGAGAAAATCTTTGCCAGTTTTGCAGACAAATCCTACGCCAGCCACCTTTACAAGAACTACATTGCCCTCGATTGCAAAGAGATGTCCTTCGATGAGCCCAGTTTGCTGCAGAGCCTAAAGAAACTGGCGGAGAAGATGATTGTCGAGGAGAAAACGACTGGTTTCAACATTCCACTGCCGTGGTTGCAGCTGGGCCAGATTCTGGAGAAGCTCAAGCAGCGAGCCATCTACTTTGTGGACATCAATCAACTTCATGAGGTAGTCTCATCTCAGGTGGATGCCTTCCAGTCATACGAGAACCTCAACGCTGCCTTACATTTCTACCACAATCAAGCTAAAGTATTCTACCTGGACTGTGTCGGTCAGACGACCACCAACGAACGCAACAACACCTACGAACTGGGCATCATTATTCTCGATCCAAACTGGTTCGTGAACTGTGTCTACTTGCTCTGTGCGTATCTCTCTAATATAAATGGTGATGATGACAATTACCAGTTTGGCGTCATTAGGTTTGTTGCTTTTGTATGTCAGCCATTGAAATTAATAGGCAACTGTTTTACAGTGAAAACATCATCAACAAGGCGTGGAGTGATTGTATTGACCAGAAGTTTATTCTTTTAGGGTGTTTAGAGAATCTGGACATTATTTGTAAGAACCTTTGTTGGCGTTAGTAGTCATAATTACCTTTTCAATGTTTGTCCTTTTAGGTGAACTGAGTCCGTACATTCAACTTGAGGACGCGCCTGATGTGGCGGCTACCTCGATCATGCCCAAATTGTACTTTTTCCCTTGGATCAGCAAACCTTTTGCTGAGCATGAATCTCATCTGCCAAATGAAAGCTTTGGTGACTCTACTTTTCAATTTGTGATAGCTTTTAACTTGCTTCCATTGGTTAGCTTATGCAAAAATGTGTTTTTGAAAATTGATAACAATTTTTTTTACTTTACAGAGTCTCTTCACTCGACTTCTCATTCGTCTGAGCAAGTGGTCTTGGAACCAGGGTTGGGGCCGCAAGCCGGAGATGTACAACTCCAAAGGACGCATTGCCGTCGACTTTGACCACGACATAATACTGAAGATCAATCTGATGCAAAGCCGTGTTTATGTGGTAATTCTGAAGATTTTCGAAGAACTGCAAAACGACCAAATCGAGAACCTGTTCATTGGCCCGGCGGCAAACGTCTGTGTGAAGGTGAAAAATGAGAGCATTTTCTGTTTGCATTGAATATTAAAGCAGCACTACCACCCAGGTACACCATCTAATTGAGAGCGAGCTGGAGTCACTGAAGAACACCTACTACCGCCGTCTGAGCTACAAACTGGTCATTCCCTGTCCGTGTGATGCCACCTGCAGTCGCCACAAGGTGGAGGGCTGCATTGATGAGAAGTGTCTGCACTTTCTCAGTTTGCAGGAGTGTCTCAAGAAGAAGGTGAGCGGTGCTCTGAATGCGATTGTGATTGATGAGTCGCTTAATCTTCACACTCTCTATGACAGGTGGTGGAGTGTGTGCACCACCGGCAGGTGCGCACCACCTTCATCCAGCGGTACCTGCCGTACGCGCCGGCGGTGAACAGTAGGCATAGAGGACTGGGCGGCAGCCTCACTGACCCTCACCCCTCTTCCTCCCTCTCTGCCCCCCTTTCGTCCACTGCAGACGAGCTGATGTACGACTCGATGTACAGCCAGAACCCCAATGATGTCTGGGACAACATTTTCCAAGTCGAGCCGCTTTGGATGCGCGAGGCTGCGAAACTGCTCAACGCCAATCAGCTCAGCAACGACTGGATTGCCCTGGCCAAGCGACTCAGCTACTCAGAGCGGGACGTGGCCAAGTTCGGCGAGGAGATCAGTCCCTCGCTGTCGCTGCTCAAAGACTGGTACGAGAGCAACGGGCGAACGCGCTACTGCATTGACGTGCTGGTCTCCTGTCTGCGAATGCTCTCTCGAGATGACATTGCCTCGCTGATCGAGTACGAGCTGGAGCCGGAGAGCACTTCGCCGCCCATCTTCCTCAGCTACCAGCGAGACTCGCAGAAACAGGTGCTAGAGATTCGGCGCAAGCTGGAACTGTCGGGCTTTCCCTGTTGGATGGACACCAGGTACGACCATGGCCACAATGTTCTAAGCCGACAGGTGGGCGCTAATGCAACTGGTAATTGGCCGGGTAGTTCAATGAGTGGCGGTGATTCGCTGTACGGGAAAATCTACGAGGGCATCAGCAGAGCGAAGGTTTTCATTTGGTAAGGGGATTTGCTTTAGCTTTGTTTTTCTCTACTAACTTTTGTCTGATTGTCAGCTGCCTTACGCCTCGCTACGTGGCTTCGCCAATGTGTAACCGAGAAGTGACCCTTGCGGATGTGCTGCACAAGCCCATTCTTCCGCTGATCATTGAGTTCACACCATGGCCGCCACCGGGCGCGATGGCACTCATTATGAGCTCCATTGTGTACATCGACCTCTGTGGTAAGTAGACGTTGTAACTATTCTCATTCTTCCTCATCTGATTGACCCCTTCCTCTAATCACTGCAGGAGTGGGCAGTCACTCTGGCATCGGCAAGATGCAGGACACTGAGACGCGCTTTCGCGAGATACTCGACCGCGTCTCTCGGTACATCTCCGGGTACAGCGACATGCCGGTGGTCTCCTCTCGATACCTGCAGCTGCCGGACCTCTTCAACTCTCGGCGCAGTGAGCCAGGGCCAAGTGTGCCCCTGAATGCTGCGGCGCTAGTGCGACAGGCGAGTGAGGCGAGGAGCATCTCACCGCCCGTCGACATTGAACGAGCACAGGAGCGAATGCCTGGCGAGCGGCAGAGACCGGAGGAGAATGTGGTGAGTGGGGGAGGAAGGGAAGGACAGGGAATTCGTATTGTGGAAGAGGAGAGAAGATTGGTAATTGGTCAACCTTGTCAGCCATGTCGGCGAGCACATGTTTGTGCAAATTATTACCACTGCTAAGGTCACGGGGGAGGGAAGAGGGGGACACATGTTAGCTGTAGTGGAGCACTCTCACCTTACCTACCTTTACCTTTGCCTTTATCCTGACAGCGGGAAACCGAGCTGAGGGAAGTCTTCACTTCAGACGACATCATCTCGGGCGATAATATATCGGTCATTTCGCGCACTCGCATCGCTAATCGCATCACCAATTGCTCCGTCTGCTCGCTCATGTAGCGACATGGTCGCGAGGATCGAAGTGGGGGGGAAAGAAGAAAGAGAGCAGTCATTCTGCTGCTTCTGCTGCTGCTGCTGACCTTCCCCCCTCTTCCCTGTGAGACCGAGTGACCGATCGTCACAGTGACCGCCGCTACTACCACCACCACCGCGACCAAACGTGTGACACTAATCAAATAATAAAAGCGAGAGCGCCAAACTGCTCTTTCGAACAGCTTTTTCTTTTTCTTCTTCTTCTTCAGTCTTGTCAAGTGGTGGTCAATTCGACGGCGGCCCGCCAGATGTCGAAGCAACTGTAGCCGTTCGCTGGCCAGGCCAGCAGTGCTGCTCAAAGGATCCAGTCAGTAGGATAGTGGGAGAGGAAGAGAGCGAAGGAGAGAGAGCAGTCAGAGTATTGACACCGTCTCTCGGGGAGGAGTTCATAGTGCTGTGTGGCGACGGACAGGCAGACGGCAGCGGCAGCAAAGTGAGTACTGCTACTGCTGCTGGTGGTAGTAGTGGCGGCGGTGGTGGTGGCAGAGTGCCGTAAACACTGAGAAACACTGGCCAACTGCTCCCGACGGTGCCAAGTCCACCATTTCTGCAGCACACACAGCAGAGACAGACAGGCAGAGGATCCAAGATTGGCGCTGCCAGTGAACCCTGTTCCAAGTGAGAGAACAGCAGCAGCTACACTCACCCACCGAGTCTGCCCTGTTCCAGCGGGAGCCACTGGAGCCGCCAAGTTCTGTCCATTCTTCTTCACGCGCACCTTTTCTCGGCTTCTCCTCTTCTTCACCGCCAGCCTGTACAGTCGCCTCCTGTGCTTTTCAGTGTTTCATGTGGATCATGTTTCTTCTTCAGCTACCGTGGTGTTGTTGTTTATTCGGCAACGAGAGCTAGCTAGTAGCTCAAACATTGGCTAGTTCTGCCTGCCTCACCAAGCGAGCAAGACTTGGAGCCGACGACGATGTATCCCAGGCACCAGTGATAGTCCTGCCGACTGCCATCACCAAATATTGAGTGGCCGTCACCAGCTTCAGCATCATCGTCATCTTAATCACCAAAGTGATGGCCGTACAGTGTTTCTCTCAGCAACTTCAGCAAAACCAACGTCAACACCATCACCGTTCAACCGACGACACAATGGGCCTCAACTACTGCAGCTACCTCAGTGACCAGTGCACCCTTTGAACTGTCGTCGATCGGGTGCACTGTGCACCTTAGGTCATCTCAACTGACCGGCATCATTTGCCAGCCCTGAAGCTTGTCAGCAGCTCATCACCAAAGTCCCCAGTGACTAAGTGACTGGCTGCACAACCATGGAGCTCACACTGAACCTCGTGGCCCAAACCTGCTCTACATGGCACCGAACCCACACGCCTCGGTCATGGCCATCAGCAGCAGGAGCAGCGGTTCAGTGGCCACTGCGCCTTTCTCTACTTCTCCTCACCCTATCCACTCTCTTCCAATCGACCCACTCTGATGGTAATAATCATCATAACAGTACTGCATGCTCTCTTATCAGCACTACAAGCTCATTTTTGCCGCAAAAGGCTTTGTGTCAACTGAGTGCCCCCAGTCATGCAAACTGATGTTTGTCTGTGTCTTGAGCTTGTCTTTCCTTCTTAATTGATTGACTAATTAAGCAGCCAAGGCTAGTCAAGAGTGCAGGAACACTGAGAGAAAGATAGGATAGGCGTCGCTTTTGTGTATGTTCTCCTACTACAGTTTGTAAATGCAGAGTGAAGTGTCTCCAGCCCAACTGGTCGTCAGTGAGCGGTGTCCAGTCGTTTCTCAACCCGAGAACTACTGCTCACCCACTCACAGCGGGAGCAGTGTAATTGCGAGCAGTAGATGTACACTGCACTACATTACAATTGGCCTCACATATTTCTCGTCAAAGTAAAAGCATTATTTGCGCCCTTGACAGTTTCAAGTTGCAATTAGGCCTATGCTGCTAATTGAAGCTCACTTGGCGGCGGCGGCAGAGGCATTCCAGCAGTTGTCCAGTGACGATCACTTCTGCCGCCTAGCCACCACCACCACCACCACCACTACCACCATTACCATCACCATCGCTATTACCACCATTACCAGCAGTCTACACGACACATCGATGGCAGTCGGTGTCTATGTGTGCAGAAGGTCTTTCTGAAGAGACTGCACAGCATTCTAGTCACTTGATGTCGACGTTGATTTGCTGCCGATCTCAGCTGCTGTTGCTACTGTCTCTTTCCCTGTCACATAGCCTTACAGTTTGTGCCCGTCAACCGAGCATAAATTATGACACTGCCGCTGATAATGGCCTCCACTCTGCACTGGCTACCGTTTGACGGCTGTCGACGATCACCCTGCTACTGCTACTCACTGACAGAGACAGACAGAAACAGAGAACGTCGTGTAGTGGCGGTGAGCACAGTGGCTTACCAGTGACACTGTCCTCTGATAAAAACATGCCGCTAAGTAGCCGGTAGCATTGCCTTGTTTTTTCTCATTTTTCTCGTTTGCTTAGACTTTTCCCCTTTCTTCTAATTGGCGGGTAATTGGCAATTGAGATTATTACCTCACTGGACAATTCGATTGACAAAATGGGCACTCATTGTAGAAGTGGAAGCATGCCACAAATTAGATAGTTATATTGCCAGACAGACAGCTTTTAGCTACTAAGTTGCTTGATGGCCAACAAAATAAGATTACACATGGGAATTGTCGGCGAGGCACTTACCACTTTGTTTATACTGCAACAGTTTCACTCTTTATCCTTCTTCAATTTTCACTAACTTGGCTTCCCCTTTCACCACAGGGCACCCTCCTCGAATAATCACTCCACCGCAGGACCAGTATGTCATCACCGGTCGTGTGGCCACCTTCATCTGCTCGGCTATCGGCAGTCCACCGCCGACCATCGAGTGGCGCAAGAATGGCCGCCGCTTAATGACCCAACGCTACACTGTCCTCGACATTCCCAACGGTTCCGTCTTGCGAATCGAACCAGTCAAATCGGTAAGTCACACTGGGCATTCCATTGGGCACTGTTAATTGGTGCTTGGTTTTTAACTGAACGCCAGCGAAGGAAGTAGTAGCTGCAATGCGACATTGCAATGAGACAATTTACGACCCATTCCGGACTCTGTTCTTTTTATGCTTCTTCAACTGACTGGGTCACCGAGTAGTCCTTCCTCTTTCAGCCAATTAAAGCTTTTATTCAGACAAATTTTCTTCATTTTCTTCTTTTTGTCCTTTTTGCATGCAAGTCGTCTCCATTCCTCTTTTCTGTTCTCTGTTTCCGATGTCGCCTAGCCACCGCAATGGCACAGTCTTTCTTTGATTTGTGTGCGCCAGCGAACATCACTCACCAGCAAACAGAGCAAGCACATTCACTTAAGTGCACATTCGGTTTTGAGAAGAAAGTGCATTTTAAATTACGACCAACTCCTAAGCGACTTTGAAGATGAGATATACTACTGGGAGCGTATGACACTTCTTCTCCTTCCCTTTCCTCTTGTTGCCGCCAGACACAAACTGAGACTGCAAACAAAAAATGGCCGGTCCTCATAATGGGTGGTCGAGCCAGTGCGCGACACCATCCATTCTCTCCTTAACGACCCGACTGCACCAAATACACTGCAAATATTCTCTGTGTCTCCTTCCGTGCACTGCCTGCATTTCTTTGCAGTGAAAGCGCTCTTCCCTTTTGTTTGTACTTCTCTTTCTTTTTCTCTCTCCCTGCCGTTCATTTGCCCAAATACCCGTACTTATTTATACTCATTTTGGCGTTGTTATACTTGCAAATATCCTCACTGTTTACTGCAAGTTAATCCAAGTTAATTAAGCGAGCTTCCACTGCTGCCGTTTCAGCGGCAAGGATTGTGTTGATTCCTAATTAATTGAGCAGTTTTTGGTCACCCAATGAGCACTGCCTCCACTGCAGATGGTCTTTCTAGCAGCAGCGGCAGCACTCTCTGTTCCAATGCCATTGGCAATGTAGATTAGGTTTCCCCTATACAATTTACGCCGTTTGCACAGACATCTCCGCTCATGCGAGGCGCCGGTGCTTGTGAAGCGGTCTCACATTGGCACTGAGTGGACTCACAAATTGCCGACATCGAATTGCAAATTGCACCGGCTAAATATCCGTCCATCTGCCGACACATTCGCTGATCAGTGTTGACTGCTGTCTGCGCTCATCCTCACTGCCGGCCATGGTGGTACGGTGATGGACACCTTTCAATATCAATTTGTCTCTCACATCGCATCTAATCGAATGACTGTGTGCACCCACTGCTAATGGATATTGCTGGAACAGGCAGACAATTCACAGTGCACTCTCTGCAATTGTACAGCAGTCGTCAGCGGCATAAAAGACATAAAACCAGTGATTTGGAAAAAGGCCTTGTGGCAGTGTTCAAGTGATTTTGTGCGCCTGTGATTACTGAGGCAGCGTCAAGCTGCCTAATGAATTGGAATCGAGCAGAGAATCTATGTCATTTGAAGGCGCATCCAGTTAGAGGCGCGACTCAGCACTAAAGTAGCAAGGCTTTTAGAGACCGGCAACGGCCATTTTGCTGCAGCAACCGCAATTAATCCCTTTAACATTTTAACATAGAGGCCTACAGAAAGTTCTGCTCTGAGCTACTTTTGTATCTGCGTTGCAATGGGATGCATTATGTATGATTTTTAACTGACTTTCCTCACCTTCTTCTGCTAAGCTGGGGCATCCAAATAGCCACCGGACAAAATGTGGTGTAAAGTAGAGAAAGAGGAAGAGGGCGAGGAGAGGAGAGTTTGAATTAGTGTTGATTTGTTTTGGTGCCCATCCTCAAAACCGGTAATTGACACGTTTCTACTGTCACGTGAATTGAAAGTCTGATGTTAAATGTACTGGTGGCCTATGCTGCTGTTTTCAATTTCCTTTTAGTGGGGTTAAAAGTACTTTTTTAAATGACTACAAACTTTTAATAAAACTTTTATTATTACTTTTTCAGGGTCGGGACAATGCTTCCTATGAATGCTTGGTCGAAAATGGTAATTTATTTTATATAATAAAGTTTAACCGATAACTCTATGTCAATAGAAGTACACATCGATAACACCAATCGCTCTATCTGATGGTTTCAATGTAACACTAACATGTGAATCTTTTGTTATTTTGCAGGTGTTTCGGAACCAGTTCGCGCTACTGCCTTGCTGCACGTCTATTCAGGTCAGTACTGCTCACACTGCATACGTGCGTGTTGGTTATAATATTGTGGATAATATTGCCTTTGATTAACACCTTTGTTCAAGTGAATTTGAATATTTCTAGTTAAATTCACCGTTGCAAAGGTTACGCTAGCTCTAATGGTTAGGCAATGTACTGTGCAGTTACCGAGTTCTCCTTTCCTGGGCAAATGTGCTCATTAGTTGCGATTAGATTAAGGTGGATCGAATTAATTACCACGGAATGCATGCTCGCCTGCTTTCATCGCTGTTTCTGCATTTGGCGCTAATTCTCTCTTTCTCTCTGTCTGTTATTACCATAACATTACCTAACAGATGAAGAAGTCCCCAAAGGCTTTCCGACGTTCAGTCTGCAGCCAAACATGCAGGGAGTGGAGAAGGGCAGGAACGCCCTCATTCCATGTCGAGTGACGGGCGACCCTGAGCCGACGATCACCTGGCTGAAGGATATGATGCCCATTGACATGAGCAAGCCTCGATACTCAATGTACCAAGGCGCCTCGCTGCAGATTCTCTCCGCACAAGAGGAAGATCAAGGCCAGTACGAGTGCGTCGCCTCAAACACTGCCGGTACTGCCTACTCAGAGCTGGCCACCCTCTTCGTTCGAAGTACGTCCTCTTTAGTTAGATGGTCATTGCTCAGCTATAACTCCGTTTTTTGCAGCTCGAATCGTCGCCCCCTACTTCTCAATACCACCAGAAAAGGTGTACGAGGTAATGCCGGGCAACAATGTCAACCTGACTTGCGTCGCCGCCGGCTCTCCGGTGCCCTATGTCAGCTGGAAGAAGGGCAACATTGAGCTGAACAACAAGGACAACCTGCCCATTGGCAAGAACGTGCTGACACTGACCGATGTACAGGAGTCAGACAACTACACCTGCATTGCCACCTCCAAACACGGCTTCAAGGAGGCCGTCGCACAGGTCATTGTCCGCTCACTGCCTCGGGCGCCGACGAATGTGCTCGTCTCTGATGTGACGCCCACCTCAATTCGCATCTCCTGGAACTATGAGCTTGTCCCTGAGAACATCGTCTACTTCATCATTCAGTATAAGCCAAAGAGTGCCAGTCAGTTTCAGGAGATCAGTGGCATCACCACATCATTCTACATTATCAACTCACTCACTCCCTACACTGAGTATGAGTTCTACATCATAGCTGTCAACTCAATTGGTCGTGGCCAACCTTCTACTCCGCTTTCAGTGACCACGGGCGAGACCAGTAAGTGATCACCTCATGATCAGTTGATTGTTTTACAAATGCTATAACCCAAACTGCTTTCCATTTCTTACTAACCAACCACTACTTGACTAACCAAATCTTTTCTGCCTACTCTTTTCTCTTCTCTTTTCCTCTTTTTGCCTACAAAGACTCAAGCGGATTTCGCAGTATGAAAAACTTTTTCTGATAGCACATTTTGCATGCTCTAGAATTTAGAATAACTACTTAGTTTGAGTAGCTGAGTGCTAACACTGTGCGATTCTTTTCCCCATTTTTGCACCTGTAGAACTAGGAAGTTATCCGCGAAACGTGCAGGCACGACCGCTGAGCATGAACACCATCGTCGTTCAGTGGGAGCAGCCTGAGGAGCCGAACGGCCAGGTGACCAGCTACAAGATCTACTACACCACCAATCCCACACTGCCAATCACCGCCTGGGAGGTGCAGACGGTGGACAACAACCAACTGACGACCATCTCCGACCTGCAGGAGCAGTCCATCTACTCGATACGGGTGCAGGCGCACACCAGCCGAGGCGCAGGACCTATGTCGCCGCCGGTGCAGGTGAAGACCCAGCAGGGAGTGCCCAGTCAGCCGCTGAACCTCATGGCCACCTCCACGTCGGCCACCACTGTGCAGCTGAACTGGAACAAGCCCTCGCACACCGGAGAGTCCATCGTCGGCTATGAGGTCTTCTGGAATGACACCTTCACCAATCAGGAGTACAAACGTGCCATTCCCGACGTGGAGACGTACACCCTCGGAGAGCTCTACCCTGACACACTGTACTACGTCTGGGTGGCGGCCAAGTCACGCCGAGGAGAGGGCGCCTCCACGCCGCCAATTCCCGTCAAAACGGATCAATACGGTACTCACTTTTTTCTCATTTTTCTCTCCTGATTTCTCCTCGACCTGTGTTTTTCTTTTGTTTTTATTTTATGTTTAATTTTGTTTTTATTTTGTCCTTCTTTTCGTTCTTTTTTTGCCCCGTCTACTTCCGTTGTCCTCCCTATTGTGTCCTTGCACTCCTTTTCTGATAGTCCCCGGTGCCCCTCCACAAGATGTACAGGTAGTTGCGCTGAGTTCGAGGTCAGCTAAGGTGGAGTGGCTGCCTCCGCCTTCTGAGAAGCACCACGGGCAGATCATATACTACCGAATAGTGTACAGACTGGCCGACCCAAGTAATGCCACAGACACGACCCCACTAGAGAAGGTCTTTGCACTTGATGGCAACTCACAGAACTTGCCCTATTCCACCACTATTAGCAACCTTAAACAGTTCACAAAGTATGAGGTGCGAGTGCTGGCAGGCACCAAAATTGGCAACGGCCCCTGGTCAGTGCCAGTGACTGTGACTACCGAAGAAGACGGTAATTGACTGGACGATAAACCCGCCGTTTTCCCACTACTCTTCTGTCCCTGATTTTATTATCATTTCTTTCTTTCCTTTACCACTTTATGACTTTTTTATGCCTTTTCTAATGCCTACTGTTTACTGCTACTCATATTCAGTTCCTGGCGAGCCAAGAGAAGTTCGAGTGATTGCCCTGAACAGCTCTTCTATGAACGTCAAGTGGCTGCCCCCGGAGTCAAAGGATCAAAATGGCCTCATTCGCGGCTACCAGATTCACATTCAGGAGGTGAACTCATTCGGCGAGGTGACCGGTGACGCCATTCGAATCGACGTCGCCGACGGCATGGCTGAGGAGTTCAACGTCACCTCACTGCAGCCTGACACTGACTACGCCGTCCAAGTGGCCGCCGTCACTCGAAAGGGCGACGGCACTCGCAGCAAACCCGTCAACGTGCGCACCTCCGGCGGAGTGCCCTCCAAACCAGAGGTTTCCATCAGCTTCCTCAAGGACGAGCCGCAGATGAGCGTCAGAGTGTACTGGAGACCACCGAACAACACCTTTGGCCCCTTGACGGAGTACAAACTTCGATACGGACGGGTGGATGACTCGGTTCGAGATGAGATCATCATGCCGTCCATCGAGTCAAGCAAAGTACTGGAGAACTTGGAGCGCGGAACACGGTACGAGTTTAAGCTGTCAGGTCGAAATTCAGTGGGCTGGGGTCAGGACTCCATCACGTACCTCGACACGCCCGAAGGAGTGCCAACGGCACCGCCGCAAAACCTCACTCACCGACTTCAAAGTCCGACCACGGTGGTCTTCACCTGGGACCCACCGCCGTACCAGCTGCAGAATGGAAAAATCTCCGGTTACGGTGTTCAGTTTCACAAGATGGTCGATCTGACGCCAACAGAGTACAACACAACTCAGACGAGAAGCATTTACAGTACTTTGGATGAAAACACCGAGTACACCTTTAGGTTTGTTTGCTGCCTTTTGATGTTTTTAGTTTTACAGACTGATTTCTTTGTAAACAGAGTTTGCGCTTACACTGCCAAAGGCGCCGGCCCATGGACGGAGAAGATCCAAATAATGACCCCCGGAGATGCACCACCGGCGCCCACTAACGTTCAGGCGCTAAGCACCTCAGAGACATCAGTGGAAGTGTGGTGGGATGAGATGCCCTTCTTCAATGACATTCTCGGCTACACTGTCCTCTACACACAAATCGCCGTCGAAGACCTCGATCTCTGGTTCAGAAAGGAGGTCTCTCTGACCTGGTCGGCAGAGCTGACCGGTCTTGAGGTGAAGACGATGTACGCCATTCGCGTGGCCGCCTTCACAAACCAAAGTCTGGGTCGACTCTCTGAGCTGATCACCGTGCGCACTGATCCCACTGATGTGCCGCTCAATCTGCAGTCCACTGAGGTGACCACGCACACTATGACGTTAAGTTGGAAGGCGCCCAAGAAGCTAGAGCCGATCAAGTACAAGCTCGCCTACGGAGCACACAAAGAGTTCTACGACAGTCAGGGACTGCTACAGCGTCTTTCAGTGGAAACAAAGACCATCTACGTCACTGCTGACGTGACCGAGTACAAGATAACCCGACTGATGCCCTTCACGACGTATGCGGTAAGTTACCACTTGCCATTGTGTTTACAATGTGATAAACATGTTTGAATGTTTTATCTCAGGTGAACGTGACGGCCATCTCCTCTGACGAGCAGTTCCGCCCTGCGGCCAAGTTGATTGTGACCACTTCAATGGCCGCTCCGAAGCCCATGGTTAAGCCGGACACTATTGAGTCGAAGAACAAACAGCTGATAACGGTCATTCTGCCGCAAGCATCCGAAGAGTTGGGTCTGATTAGTCACTACTACCTAGTCGTAGTACCCAAACAGGAGGGCGAAATCGTGAAAGAGCCTGACCAGTATACCATCGAAGAGCTTTCCTCTACGCCAATGGACAAGGTGGGCCCGTACATCGCCGCAAAGTGGATGCGTAGGTCCATACCAAACACCTTTTCATTGGGCGACGGACAGAAGTACAATGGTTTTATAAATCGAAAACTGCAAAAGGAAGTTGAGTACCGCATCTTTGTCCGAGCCGTTGTCGACACTCCACAAAAGGTACTGCTTTTTCTATTACCACAAGTGACCTGATCTTACCAATTTTTCTCTTACAGAGTCTTTTCACCAGCTCTCCCTTTTCCGACTTGCTCAGTTTGGAGAGAAGTAACAACATCAACATGGAGTCTCCCACTCGATATCCCAGTACTAATCCTGACTCTAAGCGAGTACCACTTCCAAAGCCAATGCCTGATCGGTCTGGAATCATACTCATTCTCTCCGTTGTTCTGGCCGTTATGGTGGTAGTTATGACCATTGGATTTTGCATCATCAAACAGTAAGTCTTGTTTGATATGTTGATGTTGACAAATGTATTCAAACTATTTTTCCAACTTCAGCCGTCGTCAACTGATCAAGACTCCAGCAGGTGACACCTCAATGAAGCTGTTGATGAACCCAATTTCTAATCACGAGCACATCATCCATCCATCCGATCCTGTCGAGCTACGGCGTTTGAACTACCAGACGAGTGCAATGCGTGACCACCCGCCCATCCCCGTCACTGAGCTGGCTAATCACATTGAAATGCTGAAAGACAGCGACAACCTCAAGTTCTCACAGGAGTACGAGTCCATTGACCCGGGACAGCAGTTCACCTGGGAGAACTCCAACCTGGCGGTGAACAAGCCAAAGAACCGCTATGCAAACGTCATCTCCTACGACCACAGTCGCGTCGTCCTGCAGCCCATCAACGGCATACCGGGTTCTGACTACATCAACGCCAACTACTGCGACGGCTATCGCAAGCCGAACGCGTACATTGCCACGCAGGGACCGCTGCCGGAGACCTTTGCCGACTTCTGGCGCATGGTGTGGGAACAGCGGAGCACCTCCATAGTGATGATGACCAAGCTGGAGGAGCGGACGCGCATCAAGTGCGACCAGTACTGGCCGTCGAAGGGCACGGAGACGTACGGCGACATTGAGGTGACGCTGACCAACTACGAGGAGCTGGCCACCTACTGCATACGCACCTTCACACTGAAGCGCCACTACGACCCCATTCGAGAGGTGCGCCAGTTTCAGTTCACCGCCTGGCCGGACCACGGCGTCCCGCGCACTCCGACGCCCTTCCTCATGTTTCTGCGTCGCGTCAAGTCGATGAATCCCTCGGACGCCGGTCCGCTGCTCATCCACTGCTCGGCAGGCGTCGGCCGAACTGGCTGCTACATTGTCATTGACTCCATGCTGGAGCGCATCAAGTACGAGGACACGGTGGACATTTACGGACACGTCACCTGCCTGCGAGCACAGCGCAATTACACCGTCCAAACGGAGGACCAGTACATCTTCATCTACGACTCCGTTCTGGAGGCGGTTATTGCCGGCAATACGGAGATTTCCTCACGGAATCTCTTCAACCACATTCAAATGCTGATGCAAATCGTGCCAGGTGAAAACTGCACCGGAATGGAGCTGGAGTTTAAGAAGATTGCCGCTATGAAGGCCTCTGTGGATGAGAACAAGTTTATCAGTGCAAATTTGCCCTGCAACAAGCACAAGAATCGTCTGATGAACATTCTTCCGTTTGAGTCGACGCGTGTTTTCCTGCAACCGATTCGCGGCGCGGAGGGATCAGATTACATCAACGCCAACTTTATTGACGGTTACAAGTTTAAGAACGCCTACATTGCCACACAGGGCCCGCTGATGGAGACGACGGATGACTTCTGGAGAATGATCTGGGAGCACAACTCCAACATAATTGTCACGCTCACGCAAACGCAGGAGATGGGTCGTGAGAAGTGCTTTGAGTACTGGCCCTCAGACCGGTCACAGCGATACTCGTATTTCGTCGTCGATCCCATCACCGAGTACAACATTCCACAGTACATTCTACGGGAATTCAAAATTACAGACGCCAGGGTAAGAAGTGGTGGTGATGGTGAATGATGGTCGAGATAACTAATGCACGTTTATCAACTCTTTTTCAGGACGGTCAATCGCGAATGATCCGCCAGTTCCACTACGTTGATTGGCCTGAGCAGGGTGTGCCCAAGTCAGGCGATGGTTTCATTGAGTTCATCACTCAAGTGCACAAAACTAAAGAACAGTTCGGCCATGAAGGACCGATTACAGTGCACTGCAGGTATGTCCGCTGATAAGTTTGTGCTATAAACAGCCGAACTAATAATTTTCTTTTTTCTTCAGTGCTGGCGTCGGTCGAACAGGAGTGTTTGTTGCATTGAGCATCGTCCTTGAGCGTCTTCAGAATGAAGAGGCAATAGACCTGTTCCAGACAGTGCGCACCTTGCGAACTCAACGACCAGGCATGGTGCAAACTGAAGATCAGTACCAGTTTTGCTATCGTGCCATCCTCGAGTACATTGAAATGACCGGATAAGATTGTTCCGACTGTCTCTGTGTATGTTCCCCTGCCCACCAGTTGTGTGTTCAGATCTATAACAGTTTGCAGCATTAGTACTAATGGTTTGAGGAAGCATCCTGCGCACAGAAGTTCTGCTGAAGTCGATGGTTGCTGACGCTGCTCAAAGCAGATTGAAAGACCACTGAATCCGACAATATTAGCTGTGCAGTGTTGACTTGCAATTTGGTTGGATGGATTTACTAAATGAATCGCTCACTTTTGGCTCACTCTGTCAACTTGAAACCGTTTTTGACGTGTCAGCTGTTCAATGCCCTGACCCGAATAGTTTTTTCTAGTCTTTTTACACTTTTTGCAACTCACTCAACCCACTGTAGCCGACTACAACTGCTCTCGTCTCGACTATAACTAAGTTTTTTGTTCATCGTGCCTGCAACTAACTCATCACCTTTTTCCAATTCCCCTCGCGCAACTCTCCGAGATCTCATCTACATTTGAATGTCACAACACACAACCTGATATCCTCTTATCTTCTTTGTCTCCTTCTCATGAAGTGTCCACTTTGTGCCACTTGCTAGTTTTTCTCGAACTTCTTTTACTACTTTTTTTTCTTATTCTCCTTCTTCTATACACACACTCACAAGTTCATTTTGGCCCCACTTTCTCTTACTGCTGCCAACTTCAATGGTCAATACTGACACATTTTTGGTTCAGCACTGTCTTTTTCGTCCGATGGTCTGCTAGCTGGCTCCCAACTATTGAGCGCACCTTCTTTTCTTTCTTCCTCTCTTCCACTCCTTTAACTCACTTTTCCATCGGCGCCCACTTATATTCCAAAGGGCTTAACCCCAACCTTATCATTCGCAAGCGACGTGATACCACTTTCAGCTGTCTGGACAGTATTGATTCTTTTGTACCAAGTATTTATTTTACCCATTTGGCAAGTCTCCTCTCTCTCACTCTCCTCTTCTCGCCATATCATTTCACACAATGTACAGCTTGACCATGACATTTATTTGGACTTCCACTTGCTGCTCTTCCCTTTTCCTTTCTTTTCTAAGGTTTCTACATTAATTTGTGCCCTTTTTACTTCCACTTTTGCAATTGTGTTGACTCATTTTCTTTTTTATTGTACCTTTTTCATTTTTTCGCCACCGCTGACTGTTTGGCTGCCCAGCCAAAGGTGGGGCGAAACACCTCTTTGGTTCATTCACTCGTAGTGATATCTTTTACAGTACCGTTGTTTCCCTTGTTGTTTTGTCCATACTTGCTTGTATTTTTGTACTTATTTTCCTTCTTTTTGTATATTATTTTTGTACATTTTTTAGTTGTATCAATACCTTCTACACTGTCATCAATAAGAACCTCCATTGGTAGATCTCTAGATACTTGCCTATCTACTCACTAAAACATTTCCTGGTTCCTGCATCCTAGGGCGACTCGACCACCTTAGAGACTGCATTTGTGCATTGCACTTTCTCAGTAGCAATTACTGTCGCACTTATCGTGATCATCAGTCGGATAGTGCTGATCAGAGTTTGGGAGCTTTCAGGTCATTGTCCCTTTGAGGGAGGCAGCAACCGCAGTTGTACAGCGACAGTGAGCAGCTTCTTGCGCAAAAAGGATGCGTCTGCAGAATGTGTTTAGAACAAGGTGCCCTCATCATATAGTCACAGTAGCACTAACTACTTTGTTGCTGTGCAGTGCTGCTGCTTCGTGGTCGCTGTGCCTCAAATGCTTTCAAGTTTGTACCTCTACAAAATCTGCGAAGCATTGTCCATAAGCAAACTTGTGGCACTACAGCTTTTATGTGTGTGCGTGCATGAATGGACGGCATGAAACGCAGGAGCGCCGACCAGAATCATTGCACAACAAGGCTGTACAATTTGCAAAGAAACAGGTCGACAGAAAGATCCTATCGGAGAATTGGCTATTCCTGCTTAGTGGTTGCTGCCTTGTACAGAGCTGTCTGTCCCTGAAGCGTGTCTTGCATTGATCGGTGTCTGACCAGTAACCACCATCAGCATGGAGCAGCAGGCACAGTGCCCCCGTCTGCAGCAGTTGATTGGGCAGGGCTAATGGTGTTGCCCTTTTTGGATTCTTCCATGCGTCTCATTTGAGCGGGTAGTTTGCTATAGTACTTGCATGTTAGCTCGTGACGCGCGCGGGCACTCGTTTTTATTATTAGACGGGCGCTCGCTTGTTTTCACTTTCACCTAAATGAGTGCTCTCCTCACTGCTTCCTGCACCCAGTCACCATCATCCTCATCTTTATCCTCATCACCATTTCCATTCTTATCCGTGTCAGCAATGTCTTCATCTCCGGTGGCTCAGCAGTGGCCACTGTACAGCCAACTTCAGACTGCCATTCAGTTCAATGATCTCCAGGCGGCCGAGTGTCTGCTGAAGCGAGGCCTTGACTCTGACTATCGCTTTGGCGCCTCGCGCACTCCGGCACTCTGTCTGAGTGTCAAATCAGGCAATTACGACCTCGTCCGTCTGCTGATCGACCACGGGTGCAGTGTCAATCAGGCAGATGAGGCAAACGGCCAGAGTGCCCTGCACTGGGCTTGCAGCTTTATTAAGGTGGAGATTGCACGCCTTCTTATTTCGCATCGTGCCAGTGTCGATGCTTGCAACCTCTATGGTTCAGCGCCCCTGCACTTGGCCGTGATGAACTCCTCATTAGGTCAGTGGTAGGGAATGATACCAGATTAGCACTTGCTTCTAACAATCCCCCTTCCTCTCCGTCCAATCAAACAGAACTGGTCCGACTTCTCGTCGAGTCAGGTGCCTCCATTGAAAAGCGTGACTCGCAGAACCAGACGGCACTTTTGCTTGCCTGCGCAATGAACAGTCTGCCCATTGCGCAATATCTGCTGTCAGTTGGTGCCAATGTCAATGCGGTTGATAAGGTAGGTGTTCTGCCAAGTCAGCTCTGGTAAACTGCTGCACCACGTTTGACACTGCTAACCAACTTGACAAACAGGCTGGCAACACACCGCTTTTACTGGCTTTGGACTCGGGTCTGAGTATCAATACCCAGTTAGTAAAGATGCTGCTCACTGCAGGAGCAAACCCAAACCAGGGAAATCAGCTCAACGGCTCACTACCGCTGCTGGTTACCATTCGACGAAGCAGTGACCACATTGCCGACGGAGCGCTAACCGTACAGGAGCTAATAGACCACCACTGCAACATACACGCACACGAGTATCAGCCACCGTACTACGGCGAGAGTGCCCTCAACTTGTCCATCAACCGAAGTCAAGACGCCATCACCGAGAAGCTGATTCGCTCCGGTGCTGATGTCGACGAGAAGAGCATCAACGGACAGCGGCCATTCGTGAGACTGGTGAAGGAGGGCAAAACCGAACTGGCCAAACTGGCACTGGCCAACAGCACCACACGCAGTCTTCACTCTGATCTGATGGCCATTGAGGAGGAACGCAGCAGTGTGGCCAACTCTGACCCGGAGCTGTTTGCCTACCTTTTCAGTGAGGGCAGTTTCTTTCCTCGACTGAAGCATCTCAGTCGAGTCAAAATCCGAGCATGGCTAGGCTCAAGTGCCGACAGGGTGATTCCCAAACTTCAGCTGCCTTACTCGCTTCGAAAGTACCTTCTCCTCGGTGAACTGTGATGTTTTTTTGCATTTTTGGCAAACCAAACTTCTACTCATTGCTCCTTTTGTAATCTTTATAAACAGTGAAAAAGATTATACAAAGTTCAATGTTAGCTCATGCAATAATTATTTGGTTTCGCGAACGCGAAGAATAGTAGGCACTGATGTACACGGCAGTGAGCCCTTTTCAGTGATGACAGCGGAAATGAACTCGTGCGGTGTCAGGTCGTATAAAAGGTCGAGCACGTTCATGTTTTCTGGAATTTCAGAGCTATCAATAGTATTTTGCTTGCCTAATGAACTGAAGAAGCTCTTGGTGTTTCCTAGAAGATATCAAAATATTAACTGGGATAATGCAACAGTTCAAAGCGGATCATACCAAGTTCATTGTGCACAAAACAGTCCGTGTGCACCTTTTCTGAGAATTTATAAGTTTCACAGCAAACAATAACCGGCACATTGTAGGCTTTAGCAACAAGGGCGACTTGAGAAGAGCCAATGTGCGACATGACATAGCCATTGCCAAGCAATGAATGTGCTTCAAAGATAACCTTAGAAACCTGTGCAAAATAAAAAACATTGATGCAACGGGACTGAAACTGAACAATAATAATGCTTTACCTCCTTCATTACGTAAGAAATGGAGTTAATCAAAACATAAGTCGCCGGTATATTGTTCTTGACACAAAAGTTGATCATTTCTCTTCCTTCAAACTTGGGCCTGGTGTCCACGACGATCACTTTAAACTTTTTGCCATTTTTAGCAGCATTGTATATCACGTGTTTTACAATTGTAGAGCATCCAAGAGTGAGGATCGTGTCTTCATCATGAATTTTCTCTAATGAACGATCGACAATGGCTTTCCATGAGCAGATAATCTCTTCCTCTACAAAAGTCTCAATAGCATTACAAATAAAACTTTTCACATGGTCGTCTTTAGACTCAGCAGGAATACGAGAAAAGACGAGCTTCAAATGCTTGACAGCATTGTGCATGCTAATTGATAGAGGACGACATTTTGAGAGGAACCTGATACAATCTGTAAACAAAATCTTCTGCAAGTCACGCTTCAAATCATTTTTTTCTATCGGTTTATATGCTTCAACAACCGTCTTAAATGCCATCAACATGGCAATGCACTTGGCAGTAGATCCTCTTATCAGGTCTTTGTTTATGCGATAGCCAACCTGAATGACAATTGACGGAACCGATGAAGTAGAAAGTTCGGCCAGGTCAAGAACTCGACGCGGAAGGTGGGAGAATATTTTGTCAGGCAATTCTTTGTGGGCAATAATAGTTTTCTCAGTGGAAACACTTTCATTTGCCTTAGAGTCTGGTGGTGGAGTCGATTCTGTTTTTGTTGCAGGTGTTGCAGCCGTTGCTGATTGCGAGGTTGTTTTAGGTGGTGCGACAGTGGCACTTTTCGGTTGATCATTTGTTTGTTGTTGTTTGGTTGCAAGCGGTTGAGTTTGAGCTTTGGCAGATCGCTGTGCTTCCTGTATAGCCCGTCGCTCCGCTTTTAACTCAGCCTTTGACTTGGCCTCATTTGCTGCCGGTTTAAGGGAAGATTTTTGAAATTTAGCTTCCTGAAATGATTAGAAATAAAACAGGTGAGTCACTTGGCGGCTTAGAAGTGAAGAACAACTTACAAATTCAGCTTTTCTCTGAGCTTTTAGAGCGGCCTTTTGCTCTTTGGTAAGAGTCTCGGTATTCTCCTTGCTCGCCATTTGAAGAAGATTAAGTTTGTTTGCTGCTGGCAATCAAAAGAGGACGAATGTCAAAACAAGAAACAGAATTCCTGCAATGTGGCTAGCTCATGATGACACAAAAGCACCGATTATAATTTCCTTCGGAACTTTCTCAGAAAGTTTCCGAAAGAAACTATGATCGCCCGCTATGATTTAAAATAATTCAGTTCAAAGCAAATGGATATGAGGATGAGCCTTTATTAGGTAGTGCAAAATATTTATATAATATAGTTTGATTCATTGGAATAGTAAAAGTTTCGATGGAATACATTGTAAGACACTAAGTGAACATAAAAATGGTAAAAAGAAGGCATATAGAGGAGGCATTTTCTTAGGCATTGGCCTGCATGATAACAGAAATGACCACTTCGTCGACTGTGCGATTGTTTAGCAATTCCTTGAGCGATTCATCCTCAATGACAACGGTAAAAAGTAGTTTAACGTTCTCGCGAAGGCGATCGTAGTAGTTGTAGTCCTCGCACTTGACAGGTTCGTGGTTGCACTGCTTAATCACCGCCTCCAGCATGGAATCGATGGGAGCGTTCGGCCAACCAAAGTTCTTTAGGAGCTTCTCGTCCACTAGCAGCAGGAGTAGCTCTCGGATGGCCTCGCACAGTTTATCATCATGCAACTTGCCGTTCTCCAAGTCAGTCTCGCTAATGCCTTCTTTGACCATTTCTAAGTCCTTCTCAACAAGGTTGTGCTGTAGCAGTAGAATAGTGGCCTGTTCCCGGTGAATCTTACGAATGTGACGAATGAGGCAGTCCTTACGGATGAAAGCGTGACCGCACTCGTGACAGGCTCTAGGCTCTTCCTTGCGGTGGGTGAGCAGGTGCACGTTGAGAGAGGCCTTCAGGGCGAATCTGCAAAGAGATAAGGTAAGTGTGGTGGTTAGTTATATTTGATCATCAGCTGCTTAAAAAGGCTAAAAAGGTGATCAACCTTTTACTGCAATACTGACAACAGTGAGGTTTCTCACCAGTATGCAAGATGGCATGACGATTCAAGTCCTCCTTTCGGGTGAAACACTTCTCACAGCTCATGCAGGCGAATGGCTTAACCTTCTCGTGAACGTAGCGCTTGTGCATCTCCAGGCGAGCTTTGCGGTTGAACTGCCGGTCGCACTGGTCGCACTTGAAGCCGTTCTGCCCGGTGTGAAAGAAGAGATGCGCCTTCAGCCCCCCAGACTGAATGAACTCCTTGCCGCAGTATTCGCATTTGTGCGGCTTCTGGCCAGAGTGGATCTTCATGTGACGGTTGAGGGTGCCCTTGAGGGCAAAGGCAAAGTCGCATTCCGTGCACTTGAATGGTTTCTCGCCGGTGTGGATGCGACTGTGTTTGTTGAGTGCACCGCTGCTGCTGAAGTTCTTTGAGCACATGTCGCAGCTGTAGGGTCGCTCTCCGGTGTGCGTCCGGTTGTGAATCTGCAGGTGGCTGGGCGTGTAGAAGAGCTTGTGACAGGTCTTGCACTTGTACTTCTTCTCGCGACTGTCACTGTCGTCTGAGGTGTGCTTGCGCACGTGCTGCTTTAGGTTGTCGCGACGGGTGAAGCCCTTGCCGCATTGCTTGCAGATGAACTTGCGCGGAGAGTGCGAAGACGACTTTTGCGAGGACTCAGCACAGGACGACTTGTTGTGGCGATCTAGGTGGGACTTTCGAGTGAACTGCTTGTGGCAGTTGTGGCACTCGTACTTAGGTATGACACCACCGTCGTCGTCGCTGTCCTCGTCAATCGTATCGGAGCCACTGCACGAAATGACATCGTCCTCTTCACCCTCCTCTTCGACCTCTTCACCATTGACTTTGGACGAACTAGCTTTTGTAACTGGAGCTGGATTTGAGCTTCGCAAAACGGGCGAGAAGAACTGAGTGATGGCTGAGTGTGGGAGAAAAAAAAGGCAAATGAGCAAAACGGCAAATGTGAAATTAGAAACTTACTTTTATTCTGCTTATTACCGTTGGTGGCAGCAGCAGGTTGTTTATCAGTCGCCTTGGTGCGTTTAGCAAGCACCCGAGTGGCCATTGTTTCCTGTGGGAAAATTGAAACCGAAAAATGTTAGCTTCAGTACTAGATCGTGTACTGTGGGGCAACTTACGTTCTTGGCGTTACTGCGACGCACAGGTGGTTTTACGATCTCAGTGACGACGGCTAGAGACCGAGACCCTTGAGCTCGTCTGGAGGAACGCGTCGGAGGCATTGTGAGAGCTGATCTGTGGTGCACACGCTTGAAACTGCCCTCGGCAGGGGTTGACAGGGTTGAGGGTTGAGGGTACTAGCGGCAACGGCGACAGCTGAATTAGCACCACTTGCAGAAGGATTTATCGTGAAGATTGGGCCTAGCAACAGGTCCAACTGTGTTGAGCAGCAGCAGCGGACTGAGGTGCACAACTTAGACTCACAACAGCTTTTGCAGTGAGCAGCAGTGATATTCGGACAGATCGCCGAAAAATACTGTTGCTCAAAACAATGTAAGCCCTGCCTATGAGGTTGTGCTCAAAGTTTTAGAATCACGGGTTCAGGCCATAAGTAAGAGAGTCAGTATGTAGAATGGTCGGTTAAAGTGCAGCTGCGGACCAACTTGTCCCGGAAAGTCGAGCACAGACAAGCAGCATTCGCCTAGGCAAATATTTTTGGGTTAACCCTTGGCACAACACGTCAGGAGCAAGCCTCCAAAAAACTTCGAACAGAAGTCTTTTCGGCGACCTGTCTGTCCATGGTTCAAAATGGACACCACAGTCTTTGCTGCAACGCTTCTTAGGCGGCAAAGTTAACGCTGATACTGCGCCTCGCCTTCCCCGCGCGATAATTACTGCACAGAAGCAGTGAGTTGAGTGCTGCTGCAGTAGTGGTAGACACTTCAATGGTAGCTTTGCGCGGTTTTTTACTCTCTCTCTTCTTCAGCACCAAACGGTGCGTAAAAGCAATGTGTAAAATGCAATCATCAGAAGCTCACAGTGTAAATAACAATAAAAATACAACAACAATCCTCATGGCGTGGGGATGGTGAAAATAAATAAATAACTGTAACGAGGGTAGTAAAATGCAAGAATACTGGTGGAATTCCGCAGTGGGGAGGGGGATTGAAGGGGCATGATGGCAAGGGTAGGTTCTCAAGTTTCACTGTTGGCAGATGCTGCCGCCGGTGCTGCCGCCGCTGGGGCAGTGTCCATCTTCTGCTCCTGGGCAGAAGTGACAGTAGAGGCGGCAAGTTCAATTTGGGGCCAGTTAAGTTGGGCAGAGACGTCCGGCGAGATGAGGGCCATATTGTTGATTAGATGGGACTGCTGAATGAGATTAAGGTTGCAAAAGTTTGGCATCAGACCGGTGGTGGAAATGTACGGCAGGAGGGTTTGCATATTCGCCGACTGCTGCATCACCGGCAGGCGGTGCACCGTCGAGG